GCCTACCCTATGCTTTGATTTCATTCCCCCTTTCTCTCCAGATAAAACTTGCGACTTGTGACTGCAGGCCGCCCAACAAACTCCCCCGCTTGACCCTATCCCCTCCTCTCTTCCCCAGACCATCTCCGGTGACCTTCTCCCCCCCTCACCTCGCTGATCAACTCTCCTTGACCGCGGGCTATGTCCCTTCCGTCTTCAAGAGAGCGAGATTTTGCACCCCTCCCCCAAAAAACCCAACCCACTCCGATCCCTCTGATGTCAACAACTACAACCATATCCCTTCTTTTTTTCTTTCCAAAACTATTGAGCGTGCCGTCTTCACCAACTCCCCTTGCTATCTCTCTCAGAATGACCTTCTTGATCCAAACCATCGGGTTTTCAAGACTGGTCATTAAACTAGACTGCTCTTCTCTGTGCCCACGGAGGCTCTCCGCACTGCAAAAGCTAACTCTCTCTCCTCTGCTCTTGTCCTTCTAGACCTGTCTGCTGCCTTTATAACTGTGAACCATCAGATCCTCCTCTCCACCCTCTCCGAGCTGGGCATCTCCGGCGCGGCTCACTCTTGGATTGCGTCCTACCTGACCGTCGCTCCTACCAAGGGGGCGTGGCGAGAAGCTGTCTCCGCACCACGTGCTCTCACCACTGGTGTCCCCCAGGCTCAGTTTCGGGCCCCTCTCCTATTCTCGCTATACACCCAAGTCACTTGGCTCTGTCATATCCTCACATGGCCCCCTCCTATCATTGCTACGCGGGCGATACACACTAATCTTCTCCTTTCCCCCTTCTGATAACCAGGTGGCGAATCGCATCTCTGCATGTCTGGCAGACATATCAGTATGGGGGTGACGGGTCACCACCTCAAGCTGAACCTTGCAAGACGGAGCTGCTCTTCCTCCCGGGAAGGACTGCCCTTCCATGATCTCGCCATCAAAAGTTGACAACTCCGTTGTGTCCCCTCCCGAGTGCGAAGAGTCTTGGCCCTTTACCCTGGACAACACCCTGTCGTTCTCCCTAACATCAAGGCGGTGACCCATCCTGTAGGTTCATGCTCTACAAAAATTCGAGAGTACGACCCCGCCTTACACGGAAGCGGCACAGGTCCTAATCCCCGGCACTTGTCTCTCCCGTCTGGATTACTGCAAACTCGCTGTTGGCTGGGCTCCCGCCTGTGCCATTAAACCCCTACAACTCATCCAGAATGCCGCAGCCCGTCTGGTGTTCAAACCCTTTCCCCAAACCCTTTTCACGTCACCCCCCCCGCTCCTCCGCACACTCCACTGGCTTCCAGTTGAAGCTTGCATCTGTTACAAGACCATGGTGCTTGCCTATGGAGCTGGGGAACGGCACCTCCGTACCTTCAGGGACTGATCAGTCCCACAAACCCCCCAAAGAGGCATTGCGTTCCCTCCACCTCTGGCCTGCTGGGTTTCCCCTTCCTCTGCGGAAGCATGTTTCCCGCTCAGCCCAGTCAAAACTGTTCGCTGCTCTGGCACCCCAATGGTGGAACAAGCTCCCTCACGACGCCAGGACAGCGGAGTCACTCACCCCTTCCGGAGACATTTGAAACCCCACCTCTTTAAGGGAAAACCTGGGATGGATAAAGTAATCCTTCTACCCCCCCCCCCCAAAAAAAATAACATTGTAAAGTGGTTATCCCACTGGCTATAAGATGAATGCCCCAAATTTGTAAGTCGCTCTTGGATAAGAGCGTCTGCTAAATGACGTAAATGTAAATGAAATGTATTTCGGGAAAATGGGTTCCTAAAATTCCCCAACAACAGCTGATTGGTCAATAAACATTGGATGATTGGAGAGCTGACCCCCGCCCTCGTCAGGACGCAGCTGTCTCCAATTACCAACCTCCTTCTGAAGCTATATAAGCCCCAGTTCTGTTGCTCAGAAGGGGGGGGGGGCAGAGTGAAGAGTGGCTAATGGCTGAAAGTTATACATGTTTGGTTGTTGCTAAGACATTTGGTATGTACTGTGTAGTTGTTGCTAAGACTTTTGTTATGTACTGTGTAGTTGGGTTTCTGTGAGACTGATTGTAATGTTTTGTGTTAGTTTGTTGCTCAGAGAGTTTCTTTAATGTCCTGAGTTAGTTTTTTTCTCAGGTTTTGTTTTTGAACCAGTTTGTTTTATTCTGTTTTATTTTTCCCAAGGGGGAAGGAAGGCACCTAGGAGTGCTTAGCAAGCCCCGCGGCATACATACCCTAAAGTTGACTGTCTATGCACACAGAAAGACCTGGGGACATCCTTGTATTTTGGTTAGTGCACCAGGTGGTGCTAGTTAGTAAGTAGTGGGTAGGCAGTAAGGGAGGAGAGGGGCTTTGGGTATTTACTTTCTTTGCTTTGGTTCCGTCCAGCCCTTTTTTCCCCCAACTACCGTGCGAAAGGGAAAAAATTCCCCTGTTAACGGTATTCTCTGTGCCTTTGTCATCCTTTCTCACACCTACTTCCATACCTCTTTCACACCCCCGGAGATTGAGTTGTAGCAGGGGGTTGCGTTCCCTCTTCCGAGAGGAGTGCGTAAAACAGATGTTAATCTTTTCAGTAAACGATCTGAAGTGTCTAAAGAGTGTGCAGTACCTGCATAAAGACGCTGGTCCTCCTGTGGACTTCAGACAGAGAGGGCAGCAGGGGTAGAGCGTGCTGCAGGATGATCTCACTGTTGTCCTTTTCCCCCCTCCTGTAGGAGCAATCAACATCACCCCTCCTCGAGCCTGCAACATCAACATTTAGTTGAATGATATTGTATTGTAATCACAATATCAACAGGTCATATTTGTGGGTCCATACTTAAAAACTCTTGCTTAAACCTCAGGTGTAGTCCTTATGGAATAAAAGCTAGGTGTTAGCTTTTCCCATCGGAAAACGTGTCACCGTTAGCCACTAGCTGACCCGCATTATTATTTCCGTTAACAAATACTGCTTCAGCCAACTAAAAGAAGACGTAGTTGGACGTGATTTAACACTTTTTCATGAAAGAGTCCTTAACAGAAGTCATTGGTTGATTCGTTATTTGTTCCCGGAAATACAAGTAAATTGTGGTAGCTAGGCGGCTAATTCTGACATGTTTTCCAATGGGAAAACTAACACCTAGCATTTTTTGTTCCAGAAGGTTTACATCTGAGGCTTAAGCAAGAGTTTGAAAGTATGGACCCAGGATGTTTAAGAAACCAAATACTGACCAGAATCTGGCTATACAGCTGTGTAACCTTCTCTGCTTGATTTGGCCATTGTTGAAATCCAAGCATCTCTGTAGCCTTCGCTATGGCAATCTAGAGAGAAGATACAAGTATATTACATTAATTTATACCACAACAAATTATTGTCAAGTCCAACACCAAAACTACATGCAGCCAGGTGATCTAACCAAGTTCCATTTACTTTACCGAAACAACCACCAACTACACCGGACTTGTGTGTGTACACGTGACAAGGAATTACCTCTAGTTTAGGATGGATCGTTTTGGGATTGACGATGCCAGGAAAGAGATCCTCCATGATGCTTTTAAACAGAGAACGTCCTCAGGAACCACTTGGGTAATTAGAGTCTTGTAAAGCACAGATCAGACGCAGCATTCCTCCTCTGGGGTCAGGCCACACCTGGAATATCACACCGCCTTTACTCACAACGTTTTTCACAACACAACAACAACTCCAGTATGTGTACTGGCAAGTTGAGATTAATGAGAGAAGCAAAGAGAATATGGTAGTGACCAGTGACACAGCCTTTTGTTTACCATTCAAGGGAATGCCTTTTGGCCTCAAGAATTGCAGAGGATTCTTGTTTCTTTAATACTTACGACAGCAACTGCAAATCTTCTCTTCTGACCAGCGAGAACTAGCACTGACTTTATGGCTCTCATTCCAAAATCATAATGGTCCTAGAGTACAGTAGAACCCAAAAGGAAGGGAAAAAACACAAAGACAAAATGGAGGACATAAGACATCAACCCAGGAGACTCATTTGAGCAGGTAATTTTTTCGATTATCGAATCTGCTTTCCCTGTGGTATTAGGTATCCCTTGGCTAGCACTCCACAACCCCACCTTCTCATGGCCGCAGAGGGCTCTCACGGGGTGGTCGCGAGAGTGTCAGGGTAGGTGTCCTAGATGCATTCCCCCTGAATACCTCGATCTGCTGGCGCAAGCGTTCTCTAAAACGCAGGCGACTAAATTACCACCCTCATCGGGTGGGGGATTGCGCGATAACCTCGGGTAGACGCGTACCTCCCAGGAGACATATATACCCCCTGTCACAGGCTGAAACGGTGGCTATGGAAACATATGTCACTGAGTCCCTGCGCCAGGGGTATATACACGTCCCTCCACTTCAACCCACCTCCTCGAGTTTCTTCTTTGTGAAGAAGAAGGACGGAGGTCTGCGCCCATGCTTTGATTATCGACCACTGAACAGGAGACGATAAGATTTAGTTACCCTCTCCCCCTCATTCCTTCGTGATTGAATCAATGCATGGGGCGGCTTCTTCACCAATTAGATCTCAGGGTGCGTACAACCTGGTGCGTATCCAAGAGGGAGATGAGTGGAAGACAGCATTCACCACAACCAGGGGGCATTATGAATCCCCTGGTGATGCCCTATGGTTTGATGAATGCCCCCATTTTCCAGTCCTTTGTGAACGAGGTGTTTCGGGACATGCTTGGTCGCGGTGTAGTGGTCACATCGATGACATCCTGGTGTTTCCTCTACGCGCGCCGAGCATGTGTCCCTGGTTCGCAAGGTGCTGGCCCGACTTTTGGGAAAAATTTACCTTTATGCTAAGGCAGAGAAGTGTATGTTTTTTCCAGCAGCCCCGACTCCTTCCTTGGAACCGCATTTTCCACCTCAGGTTGTGGAGATGGAGGGAGATCGCATTTCAAGCCGTGCGTAATTGGCCAACTCCAACCACGGTTTAAGGAGGTGCAGCGTTTCCTTGGCTTTGCCAACTACTATCAGAGGTTTACCCGGGGCTTTGGCAAGGTCGCAGCCCCTTACCTCCCCTTTTTGAAGCGTGGGCCGTCCCGGCTCCGCTGGTCTGCTGAGGCTGACCTGGCCTTCAGAAAAAAAACTGCGGGGTCTGTTCACCTCAGCCCCAGTACTGGCCCACCCAGATTCAATCCTAACGTTCTAGTGGAGGTGGATGCGTCCGAGGTTGGGATAGGAGCTGTCCTGTCTCAAGGGCTCGGGTACGCCACCCAAGCTCCGCCCCTTGCCTTCTTCTCTAAAAAAGCTCAGCCCGGCGGAGCGAATACGCCCGTTGGTGATCGGGGCTGTTGGCTGTTGTCCGAGCCTTGACCTGTGGAGGTAGGCTCTGTCGTAGCCGCCGTGACCGGGAGACCCATGGGGCACGCAAATTGGCCCAGCGTCGTCCAGGATAGGGGGGGAAGGCCGGAGGATGGGAGATTCAGTTGGTGAGCTGGGTTTGTAAAGGCAGGGTTTGGGTTTTATTTTTCCACGGGGGCCACAAAAAAAATTTTATATATAAAAAATAATAATAATAAATTTTAAAATGAATGTATGCACTCACTAACTGAATCGCTTGGATAGAGGTCTCTAAAAAGATAATGTATCTGGGTTATCCATGATATGTCTCTGGGGGGTTACACTCACCTCCTCTGTACCCAGGATCGGGGGGTCAGTGTTTTGGGGTTGAGCGAAAGTCTGGTGGCCTACCTTGGCTAAGGAGTGAGGGGGTAAAGCTCTCCTGCTCAGTGGCCCCCCAGATAAGCACCTAAGCACCTCCCAAGGGTAAGCTAAAACCATTTCCAGTTCCAAACGAACCATGGTCCATCTTGTATTGATTCTGACGGGTTTCCCCTCTCCCAGGGAACACCACATCGGTCGTTTGTGACCGCTTCTCCAAAAATCCTCCCACCCTAGCCTTTCTCTGCCCGGTCTCCCAGGCCCGGCAGACTGGGAGGCCCTGGTTTCCTCATGTCTTCCCCCCGGGACTACGGGGTGCCAGAGGATTTGTCCGACCGAGTTTCCCCCTTCACGTCCAAGGTTTGGAAAACTTCATGGAACTTGGGGGGCTCGTCAGCCTGACCTCTGGTTTTCCCCCCCGGTTTAATGGGGAGGTGGAAAACGAGTAATTTAGGATGTGGGGGAAAGGGTTTCCCGCAGCGGTCCTTTTCTGCCAGGACCGGGCGGGGAGTGGTCCGGTGTTCTTGCCATGGGCAGAATATGGCCAGAACTCTCTTCACCTCTCCTCTACAACCTAAAAGCCATCCTGGATTCGAGGCATCGGGTGGGGTGCCTTCAGTACTGTGGAGTGGGAGGGGACGGTCCGGGGGAAAACGTGCGGGGTTCCGGTGAGGGATATCCTCGATCCCTCCTTGTTCGGCATCTTCGGCATTTCGTCGTCACTGGAGTACTAACCACTGCCGCCCGATCATCATCACAATTGTCTTGTCCGTTATCAAAACACACCGGGTTCTATCCCTAATTAGTCGTGTATACGTGTTCCCTCTGACCCTTGTTCCTTTTTGGGTGATTGTTTTTTGTGAAGGTTAGTGAAGCTCGGTGGAGCCGTTTTATTTGTTCGACGGAGTATTTTCCTGTGTGCCTTGTATTTTCCAGTGCACCTGTTTTGTGACCTGGAAATTGTTGACGCAGTTCTGCGTACTGTATTTTGGCGGATAAGCCTGTATTCTGTGATTACCCTCCTGCGCCTGGACTCCTTTCAACCACCTCATCACTTTTTCAAAGGGACCCTCTGTAGAAAAGGGTTCCACATGGAACCCAAAAGGGTTTCTAACCTGCAACCAAAAAAAAAAAGTTATTCAAAGGTTTCTCCTATGGGGACAGCCAAAGAACCCTTTAAGGTTCTAAGATACCCACTCTAGAAAAAAAAAGGTCTATGTAGGTAAGTCCAACCTGCTGAGACAGCTGCTTGCGCGAGCTGGTAGAGGTTGACGTCTTCCGGGACAGTGATTTGGCTGATTTGAAGCCCTCAGAAACAACATTGATCTCAGAAATCAGTCAAAGTCAGGTACCATCATAGAAGACAGGCCGGAACAGGGACTTTAGGTTTGTCAGGTGACCCACTCGACCTTTGCAACTGAAAGAGAGAGGTCAACTGTCAAGAATCCGTTTTCGTTCCTGTCAAAGGGTGCTGAGGTGGGTGTGGTGTAGGAATCAGGCGCAGGACCAGAGGCTCATTTTCAAAGGTTTTTAGTGCAAAATTCAACAAAGCAACGCACATAAGCCTGAAGGCGAAATACCAGCGCACACAGGCGACAAAATAAACTGCGCACAAAACATGTGCAAAGAAACTACTCCAAAAACACTGGAGGGAAAGTAGCTCCACACGTAACAGAGGGGGCAATCACACACAAACACAGACACACACAACGAAACTAAATAGAACCTAACGAGACTAACTAGACACGGGTTTAAACAACATTAAGACCAAACCAAACGAACATGAAACAATAGATCGGTGCAGTTTAGTACCCGGGGCCGACGACCGCCGAAGCCTGCCCGAACAGGAGGAGGAGCAGCCTCGGCCGAACCGTGACATAACCCCCCCTTGACGCTCGGCTCCAGCCGTGCGCCGACCCCGGGACACCTCGGGACGACCAGGAGGACGCGGAGCAGGGGGGCGCGGGAATGGTCCCGGGGGAAAACTCCGACAGGAGAGATGGGTCTGGGATGCCCCTCCGCGGCACCAGCACCGCTCCTTCCGGGCCGTTCCCCCCCCCCACTCCACGAGATACTGGAGCCCCCCCCCATCCGGCGTCTGAGTCCAGATGGACCAAAACCGGTGTATGCCGAGCCCCCCTGCTGCCCCATGGGGGCGGAGGATTTCTCTCCTTCCCTTCATTGTCCTGGAGTGGACCAGCTCCCCACCGGCCTAGAGAGACACAGGGAACGGGGTTAATATTCGATATTCAACAGGTAGATTAAACTTATCACCCCCTCGTTCAATCTTCTCAGGACTTTAAAGGCCCCACAAACCGCCGACCCATGTTTCCGGCAGGGCAGGCGGAGGGGTAGGTTTTCTCGTAGAGACCCAGACTCGATCTCCGGGGGCGTACACCGGCCCCCCTCACTGCGGTGGAGATCGGCGCTCGCCTTGTGACGACGGACGGCCCCGCTTCGGTGGACGTGGGCAGCGTTCCACGTCTCTTCCGAGCCCTCATCCAATCATCCACCGCAGGCGCCTCGATCTGGCTCGCTGCCACGGTGCCAGAACCGGCTGGTAACCTAAAAACATTGGAAAGGGGTTAGGTTGGTAGAGGAGTGGCGGAGAGAATTCGGGGCCATCTGGGCCCAGGGAATGTAACGCGCCCACCCCTTTCAGGCCGGTCCTGGCAATAAGACCTCCGAAACCTACCCCATCCGGGTTTGACACGTTCTACCTGCCCTTACCTCCGGGGGGTACCCCGAGGTAAGGCTAACCGAGACCCCCAAACGCTCCATAAACGCTCTCCACACCCGGGGGGTGAACTGGGGGCCTCGATCAACACTATATCCTCGGGACCCCGTAATCCCGGGAAAGACGTGGGTAAATAGGGCCTCAGCATTTTGGGTTTAGGGCAGTAGAAGACCCGACATAGGGAGAAACACAGCCTTAGAGAAAACGCCACAACGACCAGGATGGTGGTATTCCCCTAGAGAGGGAAGGTCTGTTACAAAATCCACCGAGAGGTGGGACCCATGGTCGTTGTGGAAGGGGTAGGGGCTGTAACCCCGGGCAATGTCGGGGCGCCTTACACTGGCGCACACCGAGCAGGAGGAAGACAAAAACCCTCACATCCCTAGCCAAAGTGGGCCACCAGTATTTAGTGCTAAGGCAATGCACTGTCCGGCCGATACCCGGATGTCCAGGGGAGGGTACGTGTAAAGCCCAGTAAATGAGTCGATCCCGAATCTCGAGCGGAACGTACTTCCGACCCTCAGGACACTGTGGAGGGCTGGGGTCGGTACGCAAACGCTCGCTCGATTTCGGAATCGGACCTCCCACACCACCGGTGCCACAAGGAACGACTACGGTAGTATATGGGAGTGGGCTCAACGGACCTCTCCTCAGTGTCATACCGCCGGGACAGCGCATCTGCCTTACCAATTCTGGGACCCAGGGATGTACGTGATTTTAAATACGAACCTGGTGAGAAACATACTCCATCGAGCCTGGCGAGGGTTCAGTCTCCTCGCTGCCCGGATGTACTCCAGGTTCCGATGGTCAGTCAAAATGAGGGAAAGGGTGTTGAGCCCCCTCAAGGCCAATGCCTCCACACCTTTAAGGGCTTGAACTACAGCTAACAGCTCCCTGTCCCCAACGTCATAGTTACGCTCCGCCGGGCTGAGCTTCTTAGAGTAAAAAGCACAGGGGCGGAGTTTAGGTGGCGTGCCGGACCGTTGAGAGAGAACGGCCCCTATACCAGCCTCAGACGCGGTCTACCTCAACCTGAAAGGGTTAATGAGGATCCGGATGCGCCAAGCACCGGAGCCGACGGTAAACAGGGTCCTTCAGTCTCCTAAGGCCCTGTCCGCATCGGCTGACCACTGCAGTCGCACCGGACCCCCCCTTCAGAAGGGACGTGATGGGAGCTGCCACCTGTCCAAAACCCGGATATACCTCCGGTAGTAATTCACAAAGCCCAAAAACTGCTGCACCTCTTTTACAGTAGTTGGGGTTTTCGCCAATTACGCACCAGCGGACACACGATCCACCTCCATTCTCACCCCTGACGCGGACAACCGATAACCCAAAAAGGAGACCGACTCCTGGAAAAACAGACATTTCTCTGCCTTGACATATAAGTCGTGCTCCCAACAGCCTCCTCAATACACGACGCACCAGGGTTATATGCTCGGCTCGGGTAGACGAGTACACCAGAATGTCATCAATGTACACGACCACCCCTTGTCCCTGCATATCCCGGAAAATCTCATCTACGAAGGATTGGAAGACTGATGGAGCATTCATCAACCCATATGGGCATGACGAGATATTCGAAATGACCTGACGTGGTACTAAACGCTGTCTTCCATTCGTCACCCTCCCTAATGCGCACCAAGTTATATGCACTCCTGAGATCCAGTTTTGTGAAAAACCGCGCTCCATGCAATGACTCCGTCATGGTCGCAATCAGAGGGAGTGGATAACTGTATTTCACAGTAATCTGATTGAGACCACGGTAATCAATGCACGGGCGCAAACCCTCCATCCTTCTTTTTCACAAAAAAGAAAACTCGAGGGAGGCGGGAGAAGTGGAGGGCCGAATGTATCCCTGTCTCAAAGATTCGGCTATGTAAGTCTCCATAGCTTTTCTCTCCTCTTGAGACAAAGGATACACATGGCTCCGTGGGAGCGCTGCTCCTGCCTGGAGATCAATCGCACAATCCCCCTGTCTATGAGGAGGCAACTGCGTCGCCCTAGTTTTGCTAAACACGAGAGCTAAATCCCCATATTCAGGCGGAATTGTGCAGTGCGGGCACTTGGTTTGGAACTCTCCACCGAAGTCGCCCCCACAGAAAACACCCAGACATCGCCCCTCGCACTGAGCAGACCACCCCATCGAGAGCCCCTCTGTTGCCACGAAATAAGCAGGGTTGTGGGTGCTTAACCAGGGAATCCCCAGCACCACTGGGTACGCAGGAGAGTCGATCAGATACAGCTGTATAGTCTCCTCATGACCCCCCTGCGCACACATCCGAAGTGGCGCTGTGATCTCCCTGATCAACCCCCGACCCCAACTGGACGGCTATCTAAGGCATGAACGGGGAGGAAAAGGTTTGTGAACAGGTAGGAGAGGTCCCTAACTCAAAAACAAAACTTCCGATCAACAAAAATTCCCAGCTGCGCCTGAATCTACGAGCGCCTATGCTGGGAATGAGGTGCAACCTGTGGAAAACACACAGGTATACAAAAGTGCGCAACAGAAAGCTCTGGGTAAGTGGGACGTCTACTCACCTGGGAGGCCCCCCCAGTGCGTGGCCTGGTTGTCTTCTCCCCCGGAGAACCCTCCCCAGCACCTGGCCGCAGGTGGCCCTCCACGACCGCACTTGGTGCAGGAGACAGGCCCCCTCGGGCTCCTCCTACTCCGTTCTCTAGCGCCGGCACCCCCGAGCTCCATAGGGCTCGGCTCGGAGAGGCCGGAGAGCGGAATGGACGGACTCCCCTCGGGACGTCCACGGGTGGCCAGCAGGGTGTCCAGACGGATGGACATATCGACCAACTGGTCGAATGTAAGATGGGTATCCCTGCAGGCCAACTCACGTTGAACGTCCTCTCGTAGGTTACATCGAAAATGGTCGATGAGAGCCCGCTCATTCCACCCTGCATCAGCCGCTAGAGTCCGGTACTCAAGAGCGAACGCCTGCGCGCTCCTCCTCCCCTGTCTCAACTGGACTAGACGCTCCCCCGCCGCTTTGCCCTCAGGTGGATGGTCGAACACGGCCTTGAAGCGGCGGGAGAACTCTGCGTAGGTCACGGTGTTGGCGTCCATTCTCCTCCACTCGGCGTTAGCCCACTCCAACGCCTTGCCCGTGAGACAGGAGATGAGGGCGGAAACGCTCTCGTATCCCGAGGGCACCGGGTGTACAGTGGCCAGGTAGAGCTCCACCTGCAGGAGGAACCCCTGACACCCGGCAGCTGTTCCGTCATACGCCCTCGGGAGCGAGAACCGAATCCCCCTGGGTTCCGAACCTAGGACTGGTGGACCGACCGATGGGGTGGACAGAATAGGTGGAGGTGTGGGTACCCGGCTGGCCTCCCATCGGTGCAAGGTGTAGATTACCTCCTGTAGAGCGGTCTCCAGTTGTCGAATCTGGCCATCTTGTCCACGGATATGCTCCTCGAGCGACACAGGCGTCTCTGCCGATCCTGCTGATTCCATTGGGGTGTGTGATTCTGTCATAAGGTGCTGAAGGTGGGTGTGGTGTAGGAATCAGGCGCAGGACGCAGAGGCTCAGTTCAAAGGCTTTAGTGCAAAATTCACACAAGCAAACGCACAATAAGCCTGAAGGCGAATACCAGGCGCACACAGGCGACAAAATAAACTGCGCACAAAACATGTGCAAAGAAACTACTCCAAACCCTGGAGGGAAAATGTAGCTCCAACACGTAACAGAGGCGCAATCACACACAAACACAGACACACACAACGAGAACTAAATAGAACACTAACGAGGACTAACTAGACACAGGTGTACAACATTAAGACCAAACCAAACGAACATGAAACATAGATCGGTAGCAGCTAGTACTCCGGGGACGACGACCGCCGAAGCCTGCCCGAACCAGGAGGAGGAGCAGCCTCGGCCGAAACCGTGACAGTTCCTATTCTGTGGTATTAGCTACGATGTTTTCGAAAGGTTATAACAGGTTATAAAATATTATTAACAGTTATAAAATGTTTTTAAAAGGGTATGAACTTAAACTAAACATGACAGATCATGTTACCCTGGATTCATCGTGATGAAGAATCCACATGAGGCGTTCAGTCGTATATCTCTTCCCTCGAACACAAACCTTTGGTAAAAACAGAGTAAATATCAAATATATTTGACTGCTCAAACTAAACTATTCACCTGTTCAGTTAAATCAATGTAAAATGAAAAACTTCCCAGCCATAAAAATACAAATCAGTCTAAAGAACACAGTAAGTTCCAGAGGCATACCGTAAACTGTGACTATGCATGGCAGCCTTAATGGACTGAAGCTGAGCAGCGATGACTGACAACACCTCCACGTTGATACAGTTAAACTCATCAAAACAACACCAGGAACCAGACTGCACCATGCCAGAGTACAGCTTCCCCATCATCTGGTAAGGGAATGTCACAGAGACATGAAATAAATTACACAACTACTTTATTGATTTCTACATTTGTGCAACTAACTCACAGTATACAGTAAAATGTATACATACTTCCACTCCACTTCTTCAGTCTCTACAACTGATGCAATGAGCTAGAACAAACATATTTCAATGCATCAAAAGTACAATAGCTATAGAGTTATAATGAGAATAGAAATGTCCATGGCTACCTTATAGTCCAGACTGTCAAAACAGTTCAGTACTAAACAGAACTTTCCAAGCGCCTGCAGAGGAAAACAACATCAACATGGTTTTACTTCCTGTAAATACAGTATCAGTTTGAATACAGAGCTACAAGGATGCCAGTGATGGTGGTTTCCCAAGAGTGTGGACATTCTCTTTTTCTACTACTGGCATTTTCAGGTCCACACACCGACTAACTTACTAAAGAAAAATACTTCCCAGGTTTTTATCCTACTTCAGTGACAGGTCCTTACCTTGGCCAGGTCCTTGACCGTCTCTGTCTTGCCAGTCCCAGAGGGTCCGGCGGGCGCTCCCCCCAGATGGAGGCTCAAGGCCCCGGTGAGGGTCAGCCAGCATCGGTCAGTGAGCGGCGTGATGACCAGTCGAGGGGAACAGCCCAGGTACACATAGCCATACATGAAGGAGGCCTGGGCATGGACCACGTAACACAGAGAGGTGCTGTCATGCCAGTCATAATGGAGCTGCCTGAAACCAACAGAACCAATGACAAAAAAGTGACAAAAAGTACAAATGTTTCATCTGGAGATCTGTTTTGGTTGGCTTACTAGCCAACATTAAGTTGTTCATGTAAGTAAGTCTTGTGCAGCTCTGAAGCTTACCTAAATTATCAACAATCATCTCAAACTCAGTAAAATTGAAAAAACATGCTCAGAAGTCCTAGCCTGATCCTAGATATGTTTGGCCTAACAATAGGAGTTATTCTGATCATAGACAACACAAAAAGATTTGGAACTAGTCTACATAAGGCCAGGTATTTCAAGAAAAATCAATACTAGGAGTAGCAACTATGATCAAAGCTGTGACCTTGTCCACTCAAAGTCGTCGGCACTGGTGATGCGGTTCTGGAGGAGATGGCGGAGGACGTCTCTGCAGTGGACCAGGATGGTCAGCAGGGCCTCTACGGTGGCCTGCTGGTGACAGGGCAGGGGCTCGGACACCAGGTCAGCCAGCTGCTGCTTCACCCCCACCATGCTCTCCAGCTGCCTCTCACTGCTGAAGCTTTCCTGGCAGTTCTTAGTGAACATGATCTGGGTCTAGGGGACAGAGGGAGAAGGAGGGTTTTGGTAGCTTGGGTACTAGTCTGTTTCTGCTCTCTTACCAACTCCTTATGGAAATGTCATGCCAAAATGTTTGGTTTGACAATGACAGCAATGGAGTTGGCAAGAGCACAAACAGATCTGGGACCAGGCTAGTGTTTGGAACACATGTTGGACACAACATCTTAAGATTTACTTGGCTAACAGCCACTCTACATTCATCAGCCTAGTGAACAGGAGCCGGAGGAACTTGCTACACTGTTCAACACATGTTGGGGTTTCTCCAATTGTGTAGATGGATAGTAATAGGTCCCGTCATCCTGTTAAACCTTGCAATGGGTAAACTTAACATGGGGGTCATATTCCTGTTAAACCTTGCAATGGTAACTTAACATGGTGAGAACGGTCATATTCCTGTTAAACCTTGCAATGGTAACTTAACATGGTGAGAACGTCATATCTGTTAAACCTTGCAATGGTAACTTAACATGGTGAGAACGGTCATATCCTGTAAACTTGCAAATGGTAACTTAACATGGTGAGAACGGTCATATTCCTGTTAAACATTGCAATGGTAATTAAACATGGTGGGGGAGGAACGGTCATATCCTGTTAAAAATCTATTCCTTGCAATGGTAACTTAACATGGTGAGAACGTCATATCCTGTTAATTAACTCTTGCAAAGGTAACTTACATGGTGGAACGGTCATATTCCTGGTAAAAATCTATTCATTGCAATGGTAACTTAACATGGTGAGAAAGGTCATATCTGTTTAACCTTGCATGGTAACTTAACATGGTTGAGAGAGGGAGAGAAACGGTTATATTCCTGTTAACCTTGCCAATGGTAACTTAACATGGTGAGAACCGGTTCATATTCCTGTTCTGTTAAACCTTGCATGGTAACTTAACATGGTGAGAAGGGTCATATCCTGTTAAACCTTGCAATGGTACTGAACATGGTGAGAGAGAACGGTCATATTCTGTTAACCCTTGCAATGGTAACTTACATGGTGCGAAAGTATATTCCTGTTAAATATTATTCCTTGCAATGGTAACTTAAATGGGTTGAGAACGGCCATATTCCTGTTAAACCTTGCCACAGGTAACTAACATGGTGAGAACGGTCATATCTGTTAAATCTATTCCTTGCAATGGTAACTTAACATGGGAGAACGGGTAATATTCCTGTTAAACCTTGCACTGGTAACTTACATGTGGAGGACGTAATATCCTGTTAAAACCTTGCAATGGAATTAACATGGTGAGACGGTCAATTTTACTGTTAACCTTGCACTGGTAACTTAACATGGTGGAACGGTATATTCCTGTTAAACCTGCAATGGAACCTTACATGGTGAGAAGGAGAACGGTCATATTCCTGTTAAACCTTGCAATGTAACTTAACATGGTGAGAACGTCATATTCCTGTGAAATCTATTCCTTGCAATGGAACTTAACATGGTTGAGAACGGCATATTCATGTTAACCTTGCAAAGGTAAACTTAACATGGTTGAGAAGGTCTATTTCCTGTTAAATTCTATTCTTGCAATGGTAACTTAACATGGTGGAGACGGTCATATTCCTGTTAAACCTTGCAATGGTAACTTAACATGGTGATGAGAACGGTCATATTCCTGTTAAACCTTTGCAATGGTAATTAACATGGTGGGAAGGGTCATATTACTGTAACCTTGCAATGGTAACTTAACCTGGGGAGAGAACGGTCTCATATTCCTGTTAAAACTTGCAATTGTAAACTTAACATGGTGAGAGAGAACGGTCATATTCCTGTTAAACTTGAATGGTAAATTTACATGGTGAGAACGGTCATATTCTGTTAAATCTATTCCTGAATGTAACTTAAACCATGGTTGAGAACTCATATTCCTGTTAAATCTATTCCGTGCAATGGTAACTTTAACAGGTGAGAAACGGTCATATTCCTGTTACCTTGCAATGTAACTTAACATGGTGTTGAGAACGGTCAATTCCTGTTAAACCTTTGCAATGGTAACTTTAACCATGTGAGAACGGTCATATTCCTGTTAAACTATTCCTGCAATGGTAAAATTAACATGGTGAGTGAGAACGGTTAATATTCATGTTAAACCTTGGCAAAGGTAACTTAACAGGTGAGAACGGTCATATCCTGTAAATTATTTCCTTGCAATGGTAATTAACATGGTGAGTGAGAACGGTCATATTCCTGGTAAACCTTGCAATGGTAACTTAACATGGTGGAACGGGTCATATTCCTGTAAAAACCTTGCAATGTAACTTACATGGTGAGAAGGTCATATTCGTTAAAACTTGCACTGGTAACTTAAATGGTGAAGAAGGGTCATATTCCTGTTAAACCTTTGCAATGTAACTAACATGGTTGAGAACGGTACTATTCTGTAAACTTGGATGGTAAACTTAACATGTGAGAACGGTCATTATTCCTGTTAAATCTATTCCTTGCCAATGGTAAACTTAACATGGTGAGACACGGTCATATTCCTGTAAATTATTTCCTTGCAATGGTAAACTTTTAACATGTGAGAACGTCATTATTCCTGTTAAATCTATCCTTGCAATGGTCTTAACATGGTGGAGAACGTTATATTCTGTTAAATGTATGCATTGCAATGGTTTTTGGTTTACCACGGTGAGAACGACCTGTCCGGGGGAGAGAGGGACCCATTTCTTAAAGTCTTAGGATTCCATTCGGACAATCCCTACTTCAAGCGCCTGAAATTATTGAAAAACTGATGACGGCTATCAGGCTAAAAGTTCACTTGGATATACAGTAGGGGTGTTGTAACGATTCGTTTTAAACAACGATTCGATTTGTATTCACGATTCGTGGTTGTCGATAGATTCAAGGACGTATTGGTTCATTTAGAAGATTACGATCGAAACGATTCAGTGACTTGAAAATCGATTCAGAACCTTTAGCCAAAAAGATTCAACCAGTGTGACTGAAATAAATACCTGGTAACAGTTGCATTTTTTGTAATGGCTGGCAAATAGTCTGATATTGTTTTAACAGTGTTCATGCCTCCATGCAGACCATCTGGTATTATGAAACTTACCCATACCTACGTTGACAGCAGCCCCGTCGTGTCATTCAAGCCTGTGTCCTGGAACAGTCTCACAAGTCCGTCTGTTATGGCTGTGCGGTTAGGTCAGCACCCAATTCAAGCAGTCCAATAAAAGTACGAGTAAACTCTCCGTTTGACTGGACACAGACACATGTAAACTATTTCTGCTCAGTTTTTGTGAGTCCTCAGATCCATCAAAAAAGCATTCAGTAAAGGGAAATCCTCAGAATAGGAAGACATGGGACTGCGTGTGTAGCTTTATGCATTTATTATCGGAGCTTTAGCAAGGGCTTGCGCCAATTAGTGTGCTCCTTGTTCTTTCATGTTGGTCAAATAAAGGATGGTTGAAATTCTTTGAGCCTTTATAAAATGCACCTGTTTTGTCTGCTAGTGTGGATTTTTTTTGAGCGGCAAAATCTTGCCACCACATTTCAGTGACGCTCATCGTTGCTTCAAGCCACTGCACCATCTGGAGCAACTGTCGAAAAAAGTATTCTTCGGTCTGGCTCCAGTGGCGTTCTTTGTAGGTGGCGAAACAACCAAAAAGGTGCTAATGTCTGTTGCTTTTTGGACACCCTGACAGTAGTGACAAGCAAATGTCCTGTGGTTTTAAGGTTAGATGAGAAGATCGGTCAAGTACGCAAAGGAGCGTAAGTAATTAGTAATTTGTCGCACTGCGTATCTGCGTACCAGTTATGTCACCCCTGCAATAAAAAAAGTCTGACGGGCTTAAATCCAATGGTTATTTCCTAGTATCGATAGATACAATCGATTATTACATTTTAAAACGATATTAGATAGATATATGTTGTCCAAAAGGCCAACTCGCCGCCGCACAGATCGATGTAGTTGGATCATATGAATTCTAAATCGATTACATTCGATGTAGTAGATGAATCGGTACAACCCCTATATACGTATCAACACGTTTGAACAGGAAAGAAAAAGCTGAATGCAAAATGGTTACTGTACCTTTACACTGTGTTGTACATCGCTGTTTTCCAGTTTCCCATTCCATTGCTCACAGAGCCACGTATTTGAACATTCTAAGAATTCAAAGAGAAGAAAGGAGTTGTGTGGGATTCTCGGTAACAGAAAAAAAACAGAATTAGGCCTAAAGAAAGGTTTCCATTGGTTGACTATCAATGATTAAACTATTTTACTTTGGCATGGTCACAGTTTCGCCCTCGGCTGAAAAGTATGGTTGCCACTACGTGGTGATCTAGCTGTTTCCTGGATGTCCAGGTGAGGTGACGGATGTTGCTGAGCATTTTGCAAGATTGAGGCTTAAAAAGTGTTTAGAGAAGGGATGAATGAAATTGATTGAAATAACATAAATGTTGTTTGAAAGTCTAATAAAAAATGTCGGAAACGTTTTGATACAAGCTTTTAAAGCCCAGGGGCCTAATCTGTCCACCAGCCGGCTCTCTCTCTGTCGAAACCGTCTGGTCACAGCGCCTCAGGAATGGAATTCAATGAAGCTATGAGACGAACAGCACTGGTTTTTAATTGGCTGATGTCTCAATCTCCACCCCTCTACGTAAACCCAGAATAACCGTGACTACATTCTGGACTTCAGAGCACAAGGCAGCACAAGGATATAAACAAGAATGAGTGAGAAACTGTAGGTACGGATCTTAGAAATAGTTTCACCTATATATACCGTTATATGCTCGGAACTCAGAATCAAATTGGGCTTCCCAAAAAATATATGTCAATGTTCATCATTTTCAAAGTCCCATATTAATTACACTGTACAGATTAGGATCGAATTTGATCACTTTTTGTTGCTGAGAAAGAAAAATTCCAGTGTATTTGAGGTTTAAACAGGCTTTTACAGTTT